CTTTGCAGAACATGAAAGTGATGATGTTGGACAGCGCCAAAATAAGCCACGCAGGTAAGTCCAGATATTCTTTAAGTCCACACTTCCCAATAGGAGAGAAGATCCAAAATCTTAATGAGTTTTACCTCTGCCTTTCTTTTTCTCGTTACAGATATTCAGAGATGAACTTTGGTCAATGAAGTAAGCAAGCATATGTGATGGAGCCTATTTCAATAAGCAAAGGTTTGGCACTGAACTGATTGATGAACCGAGCTTTTGCTCATATGCATCAATCAAGTTTCTAACTGTTGATATTTGATATAATTTACAGGCCTTCTTCTATGCCCTTTGTGATCTCTAGTTCTATTCTGGAGCACTTTGGGCTGCTATAGGTTCCAATAAGTATTAGGTAAAGCAACTATTAGGACTTTATTCTTGGTTTGGCCAGAAGATACAAATATTAACAGTCAGAGACGGTATTCATACATAAACCTTTTTGTCTGTTCATCTTGCAGGAATATACGACAAATGCCTCTCCCGACGTTAATCTGAGAACAGTATTTTCAGCTTGACGTGTGGGCTTTTCCTTGTTTAAATTGTGGTACGATGTTCCTCTAAACGCATCCTTTAGCTCGTATGGGTTTAAATTATATAGAGAATAAGTAATTTTATTACTCCATGGTGCCAGGTTTTTCTTGTGGTTTGGTTTTTGAATGAAGCAAGTGAGAAAGGGCTTCCCCAAATATGAGAAAAATGAGAGAAATGTTGAAGGAATTCTTTTAGCAGCAGCTAGCTAGCTATGTTGTGCTAATTGGAGTTTGATTATTATTCTCTATTCTATATAATATGATGTTTGGTTAAGAAGTTTATTATTTGTTTGTTACCTTACACCACTGAGGTCGAGTATTTTAGTATGATGTATGATATATTTCTCTAATGTGGGATACAACACATCGGATGCTGCTGAGTAATAAGACCCTTAGTATTCGGTTTTGCGTGAGTATAATGTGTTATGCTTTACCAGTATGAGTTCAATGTCAATGTCTGGACATATATTTATAAAGTATTGAGATATTCTTGAAAATAGTCTTGTTAGGCGTCTTTCTTTTGTTCTCATTCAACTTTCTGACTTCTTGTTCGAGAGTATAGAGCTTTATTTAAGCATTTCTTGGTTTAAAGTCATTGCTTTTTTCGGGAATATATTGGTAGGTACTCTCTTCCTTTTTTGGGGAATATGTTCACAATATTTACTCTATCATTTTACCTTTTAAACTCTCTAACGGGAATGTTAATGTATGATCGAACTCCACTTATAATGATGGAGGCGTTTAGAGCCTACTCATGATAGGTAGAGAATGAAAGTTCAAGGATAAATTATTCAATATTGTCATTATTATAATGGTTAGATAAGAAGTTATTTATCTTAATAAGAGTAAGACACATTTAAAGGTATTTAATGAATAATAATTGAAATGATACGTATGACTATGAACACTTTCAAGAATGTCATGTCGGTCTAAAAAACGAGAAGCTTATGAATTTCGACTAATTAATAATGTGTAAATATATATTCATTGCAGTCGATCAAAAACGTTAATTACCATTTGAAAGACCTAGAATTAAGAAAACATTTCTTTGAAACAAATTGTAACTTTGATTCTAACAAGCAATAAGAATGAACATTTTCATTCAATAATAGACTAAATAAAAAGAACAATAATGAATAACATCCTTATTCCTTTGATTTTGAATCATTTTCCCCCCAACATTGTTCCTTCCATTGTGCTCACTAAAAGGGTCTGAAAATGAGTTTGTGATGCAAAAACCACAAAAGTTATGGCCTTTTACTGTTTCAAAACACTGTACTTTGGTTTTAGGTGATGAAACTAAAAAAAGAAAGCGACCAAAAACCAACAAGAACTTCAATGGACCAACAAATTTGGTACAACCAATTGTTGGGTGAATTTTGTTGAGAAATCATTCAAAGCTTCTTCTCATCCATTTAAAAGCGTTGGATAAAAATAACCAATTGGTTCAATGAAAGCCATAATAGACACTCTTTTTAGAAATCCTTAGCCTTTTGTGTTGCTTTCTTTTCTTTTTTGATTCAGACCTCCTCACCCAGGAGGGAATGGAGATCCAAGAAAACAACAGATTTTCAAGTATCTCCTCTCCATTAATGTCATCTTCTTCGATGGCTATCCTCCTGGTTGTTCTATGCTTCGTCTTTAACGACCCGAACGTCGCGTTTGCGGTCGGACCGGGCGCTTCCTTCATTCCCAAAGATAACTTTCTCATTGACTGTGGAGCCAACAAGGAACTTGGTGCACTCCCTGATGGAAGACTCTTCCAAACTGATGAACAATCCGAACAGTACTTAGAGGCCAACGATCATCTCGTAGCAGCCGCCACACCGGAGACGAAGGCACCGTCCCCGGTCGATTTAACAGCAAGAGTATTCCTCCAAGAAGCTACTTACATTTTTCAAATGGCAGAGCCAGGATGGCATTGGCTACGCCTCCATTTCTTGCCTGTTAAAAGCAATGACTTTGATCTCTTACAAGCCAAGTTTTCAGTAGTCACTGAAAAATATGTGTTGCTTCACAGCTTCAACATCAATAATGAATCCACATTTGTTCTTAAGGAGTTTCTTCTCAATATCACTGAACCAAAACTGTCAATCACATTCTTCCCATTGAAGAATTCAGCTGCTTTTATCAATGCCATCGAGGTCGTCTCGGCTCCGATGGACTTGATAGCTGATTCGAACATGGAACTGTCTCCGGTCGGGACGATCGAGGGGCTGACGAAATATGCGTTTCAGACATTGTATAGGTTGAACATGGGAGGACCTATAATCACTCCAAGAAATGACACTATTGGGAGGACATGGGAGACAGATGAGATATACAGGACACCAAAAGCAGCTGGTAGGAGTGTCATTGTTGAGACCAATAGCATTAAATATCAAGATGGGTTGGAAGAAATTGGCATGTTAATAGCTCCTCCAAGTGTGTATGCCAGTGCAGTTCAAATGGGAGAAGCTCATACAAGTGTACCAAATTTTAATGTCACATGGAAATTGGAGGCAGATCCCTCATTTGGGTATCTAATTCGCTTCCATTTCTGTGACATTGTAAGCAAAGCACTCAATAATCTGTATTTCAATGTTTATGTAAATGGGAAGCCTGCTATAACCAACTTGGATTTGTCACACAAGCTAGGGAGTTTGGCTACTGCATACTACAAGGATGTTGTGGTTAATGCTTCCTTGATGGTAGAGGGATTGACGGTTCAAATTGGTCCAGCGAACGTCGAAACGGGTGATATGAATGCCATTTTGAATGGCTTAGAGGTACTGAAAATAAGCAATTCTGTTAATAGTTTGGATGGAGAGTTTGGAGTGGATGGTAAGTCTGCAAATGGGAGTAGTCGTGGTACGGTGGCTGCTGTTGGGTTTGCGATGATGTTCGGGGCGTTTGTCGGGCTCGGTGCTATGGTGATGAAATGGCATAAAAGGCCTCAAGATTGGCAGAAGAGGAACAGTTTCTCTTCTTGGTTGCTTCCTGTACATGCTGGGGACTCTAGCTTTATGAGCAAGAGCTCATATGGATCACACAAGACCAACACTGGTTTAGGGCTTGGCAGGCTGTTTAGTTTGGCAGAGCTGCAAGAAGCCACCAAGAACTTTGATCCAAATTCAATAATTGGTGTTGGTGGGTTTGGAAATGTGTATATTGGAGTGATAGATGAAGGGACAAAAGTTGCTGTCAAGAGAGGAAATGCACAATCTGAACAAGGCATTACAGAATTCCAAACTGAAATTCATATGCTTTCAAAGCTCAGACACAGGCATTTGGTTTCTTTGATTGGTTATTGTGATGAAAACTCTGAGATGATCTTGGTTTATGAGTTCATGTCAAATGGTCCATTCAGAGATCACTTGTATGGAAAAGATATGACTCCATTGTCATGGAAGCAAAGGCTAGAGATCTGTATTGGAGCGGCTCGAGGTCTTCATTACCTTCATACAGGAACAGCTCAGGGAATCATTCACCGTGATGTCAAAACAACCAATATTTTGCTCGACGAGAGCTTCACTGCTAAAGTAGCTGATTTCGGGCTATCGAAGGATGCTGCGATGGGGCAGGGACATGTGAGTACTGCAGTGAAGGGAAGTTTTGGATATTTGGATCCAGAGTACTTCAGGAGGCAACAGTTGACAGAGAAATCAGATGTTTATTCGTTTGGAGTTGTTTTGCTTGAGGCTTTGTGTGCAAGGCCAGCAATCAACCCTTCTTTACCAAGAGAGCAAGTGAACTTGGCTGATTGGGCAATGCAGTGTAAGAGAAAAGGGTGTTTGGAGAAGATAATGGATCCTCTTCTAGTTGGAGCCACAAATCCTGAGTCCATGACCAAGCTTGAAGAAGCAGCAGAGAAGTGTCTTGCTGAGCATGGTGTAGATAGGCCAAGCATGGGGGATGTGCTGTGGAATTTGGAGTATGCATTGCAACTTCAAGAATCCTTCTCAGAAGGCAAAGGTGAAGATGAAAGCACAGTCGCAAGTGTGGCAGCTGTTGCCCCCGCGACCGCTGTCGACGCTTCTACAAATGCACCGAACTCGGTCGAGCGCCCTGTCGTGCAGGCAGAACGGAGTAGGCAACCAGTAGAGGTCGAAGACGTCGATGATGACTCGGGAAGTGCAATGTTTGCTCATTTCTCTAATCTCAATGGTAGATGATTTGAAAATTTGGAGGGATGTTCCTTATCTTTTCTTTTCTTCCTCTCCTTTTTCTTTGTAATTTATTAAGTGGGAGTGTCTGATTGTTTGAGTCAGAAGGGAAAAACAAAGATCGGTAAATATGTTGTGATTTACTGTACTGATGTTGAAGAATGTAAACATGTAGAGCTAATCCCATAAATTACTCCATTTTTAAGCTACAACTTAATTTTGTAATCCTTTAGCATTTTCAATCTTAGAAGATGAATTCAGAGAATGTTTTAGATGGCCTTTGACCTGACAAATTGCTAGCATTCTGATTCGCTTGAATATCCAAATCCAAATACATTGGCACAAAAGGTTCAAATTTGCACATCGGTATGAAAGGTTCAAATTATGAAATCACATGACACGTGTACACGAGCGACACAAGCGAGACAGCTTGATAGATATATATATGATATAGAAGAAAGGGCGCAGAAGTTTACAAGGCAATGGCGTGAGCGTAACAGATGCTATTTATATTCAAGAAACCGAATCCGAAAAGCTTCGAGGCTGTTTGCTCCTTTTTGTACACGACCCTCAGTGCAGAGCTGCTAACTCAACAAGTTCGTTGTACTCACTGGAGACCAAAGACTTCACCTTCAGAGTTGGTTGGCCATTACCTTTAGCAGGAGACACATACTTCAACCCAATTACCGTTGCCAGGCCTAACAAAAGGAATCCAGTAATGAATTTACAAGCACTTGGAATAAACATCATAGAATATAAGATAGAAGGAACGCTCCTTATTATTTTACTGATTTAAAAGCTTTTGGCGTTGAAACAATCAATATCAGTCCAAAAGAGCCTTAATATAAAGGAATTAAGAGAAACATATACGAGTGGAATTGTTAAAAGACATTTCCAAAATGATGCACAATAAGTGTCACTTACTCTCATGTACTCGTCCGTACAACAGACGTTCACCTTTCCAGTACTCCAACGGTCGGGTTTTGAACCTGGTACTTCGTCTCACCCCGCCTTGCCACGTTGTACCAGCCCCTGGGAGATTGGTAGATAACGATGTATATTCAAAGAAAAAATCTAAAAACTATAGAAATTTGGGTTAAATCTACGGCTAAACACCTGCAAGGCTTTTCCTCCCAGACACCCTTTTGCCTTCGCGTTGATTGCCTGCACGAGATTTTTGCTTGACCTGTTCATACATTAATCACCAAGAAAAGAAAACCTTAGATTCTCTCAAAAATAAAAATCAGTAAGAACCATAAACAATTTAACAAAAGTAGGTGATTAAATTTTAGAAGACAATAAATCATCAACATAAGAATGTGACAATATTAGTAATTGTAAGAATAATGAAACAAATATGTGCCCGACAAGGAATAATGAAAACTGAATATAGTACTTCCTTATGACATTGGTGACCACGATAAAGAAAGCCTTCATATCTAACAAATACGACAATTTGACAAAGCTCTTCGAATCATCAATAATGAGCAACTGGAAATAAAGGTCCGAGAGAGAGGGAAAAAGATTAGAAAGAAAAGGTCAAAAACCTTATCGTGGTTATCTGTTCCACTGCTTCTTGATGGCCTATCGACAATATTCTCAGTACATGTAGCAATTGATTGATCTGTTAGAAAACAAAGAACACACAGCCTGAAATCATCTAATCCATCTACTGGGAATTGATAAGCAAACATGAATAAATTTATGCCTTTTCTAACATTAGAAGTACAAATAGAGAAAATGATTCTTCATATGAAAAGGCTGAAGCCAAATCAGAATTATAACATAAATGAAAAATATTGGAATGTGTCTTTGACTTCAGAGGAACAAATAATAGTTATAGAATTCCTTCAAAATGTGAAGCATTGAAGTGGTACACTTCAACTACTAATTCTTTTTTAACCAGCCCGGATGTATTTCGTCCAGCGGTATATATCAGCTCTCATCATATTTAGTAAAACATACATGTCCAAAATTTAACCCAAAAAAAGTCCAACCATCAAATGCACTAAGATAAGCAGTGAAATAACATTAGGTTTTAACTTCCTATTTACATGATGGTACAAAAAATTATCAGCTAGGGTAACTAACGGTGCTGGTATTGAAGAACATACCCAGCTGAGTCTGAATGCCAATCGGGTACTCTTTGATCGCATCCACCTTGGATGTGTTTGGTTGCTCAGAAGTGGATCCTTCGTGATCTTCCATCTACATATTATCACCACGATGCAATATAAAACTTCAGAACATTTAAGACTCCAATGAGCAGTGGTACAAAGAATAACTAGCACAAAGATATGTACCTCATCATCCAAAACATTAGTTGCAGCCACAGCATCTGCTTGGGCTTCAAGAAAACTCAATTTCTCATTCACTTCCACTTCTGTGCTGCTGCCACTTATATCCTTAGCTTCCATGTTGGCACGAGTTTCACTTAAGGCAGCTTCGGCACCAGCTTGGGGTACATTTAAAACATTACTTGAAGATATTTTAGATATGGAATCAACATCCCCAAGAAGAATTTTGGGTGACTTAATTCCCTTAGCTACAGTCCCGTCATCCTTGGTTAAAAGTGACATCAATCTAGAAACACCCAACTTCTCTGCAATACCAACTGCATCAGACAAGTGATTACTGAGTTCAAAAAGGGAAGGATTTCTTGCTGATGATTGGTCAAGGTCATGAGCTGAAAATGGATCACCTGGTGAATTTGAAAGCGAAATTCTTCTAGTTAGGGCTGATAATGAAGCCAACGGACTTCTCATTGAGAATGGTGTAGAAATAGGATTAACCGAATTTTCATCATCCTGCTTAGATTTCAAATTTTCTATCCTTTGTAACTGACTGTCCACACTGATCAAACTACGCTCAGGTAGATTACCCCTTGAAGATCTCAGATTCGTTGTTTGAATGGCTTCTAAATCAGGAAGGCATAATTTCTCTAAATTAATTGGTTTAATCTGCAAACACTCCTGTAATTTGTTGATGGCTCGATCACCTTCTAGATCTTCACAATTAGCAGAGAGTAATTCATCCAAAATTTTATTCACTTTGTTCTCTGCATTGGTTATTGAAGCTATAAAAAAAAAAAAAAAAAAAAAAGGATTACAGCATTAAAGAAAGGAATAAAGGAAATGAAAAAAGAAGAGAGAAAGAGGACGGCAGCATGTGATATCGATAAAATCAACTGGACCATGATATTTTGATCTCTATTATAAATTTACTTACCAACAAACGCCTCCTCCTCCTCCTCAAGGGGTACCTCTTCATTAGTTTTCATTTCTGAGCAAATTATAGGTGGACTTGCATCTTTTTCTGTGCCCAATATCGATGGACTGATACTACCTGATTCAAATGTCACTTGAGAGGGTTCTACATTCTGATCATCTTCAGATGTTATTGATGAATATTGATGCTTGTATCTAACAGATCTCCTACATGCACAACAACAAGATTTGGGATTCTCAACAACAAGAAAACACGATGCTTCAAAGAAAAGACAAACTTTGTTAATAGTATAACATGTTAGTGATTATACCCAAGAATCCCTGGTCTACGCTGGCGTGTATTTGTTGATGGATTTTGTTGGTTCAGGTCCTTCAAAATTGCTCCCGTCTGTTTTTGGATTTCTTTTTTGGCATCTATGGATCAATTGCAAAATGAGAAGACAATAGCGACCCAAATCTGTATGCATCTGGAATTTGTGTGGAAAAGGAAGCATAAGAAGAACTTACTTTCAAGCCTTTCGTACGCCAAAAAGAACTCCTCAGGGTCTTTCAATTGTTTGATGTCAAATGTTGGTTCCAAGTTCACAGAAGGTTGCCTATCAGAAAGGTATCTCATAAAACTTGGCCAGAATGTATTTTGTTACTAAAAGGGAAGCCAAATTTCATTCATTATAAGCATTACCTAGCATCAGGCTTCAAAGAAAATCTGGCCCGTTTTCGGTTTAAGGCTGGCCTTCTTTCTTGTGGATTTTCCTCCACGTTTGCTGCAGCTTCCTCCTTTTTCTCATTCTTTACAAGAAATGTGGCAGCTTTGGATTGCATCAAATTAGAGTTACCGTTCAAAATCGATCTAGCCTGCTCTATAAGTTTACTGGGATTTCTTGAGACCTGGAAAATTTAGGAGACCTATAAGTCGTTGATCCTCAATTAAACCAAAACTAGAAATAAATACAAAACGCTTCGTGAAGAGCCAAGATGATGAGAGAATGGATCTAGAGAGAAGAAATGAAAAGCTAGGCTGTCACACCATAATTTCCAGTATATTGTTATTAACTTATAATTTCCAGTACCATTGCATCAATATACTAAAGGAACCAAGCACCCGAGGGAAGTTGGGAGTAGCAATAAGAAACAAGGCCATAACACCAAAGTTTCCGGTGCTCTTGCATCAATATACTAAAAAACCAAGCCCACATCTTTAACCGACCAACTAAACATCATGCTCGGGAGTATCTCAAATCCTAGTTCACAAATCAAATGGGCTAACCAGCTTTTACCTAACAAACCAAAGTAGGCAGGGCGTTTAGTTTAAATGAAAGAAGAAACCATCACATGAAAAGCCAGAAACATTTCACTTCCTCACATTTTCACACAAACCAGGAACCCGATACTCCAATTCAACTATTGAGCTAAAGTTTAAAGATAAACAGGAAACCCACGCCACACTCTGGCATACTTACTGACAACATGGGAGCAGATTATGAATTCCAATTCATCCTCCAATGCAACAAAAGGGAAATTTTTTTTTAAAAAAAAACCCGGCGATTAGTGGCCCAGTGAGTGCTTGGACCATGCAAGAAGCACTATAAACCAAATAGACCGGTAAATTGGAAGGATCATATACAATGAGTATCGAAAGATAAAAATACCATGGATTTGAGGTGCTTGTGGATGCCGTCAAGGTCGGTTCCAATATCATGTGGCTTCGACGGAACCGGCAAAGTGCCAAATGCGCTCGGAAAGAGACTAATTCCAGAATAAGCAGCAAGAGGATCAATCACATCGGAGTGTCGAGCTTCTTCGTTCACCATTGTAGCACTCTACAACGTCTGGACCGAACCCTAGAGCGACTGCAAATTCGAAAAAGAGAGAGAAAGCGCGAAAACTTCGTATCTGTTTCCGTTTAAAATTTGCACAAGAGGTCCTTCAAAATTTTCCTTCTTACTTTTATCCCCCGTATTTCAATGAAATTATTTTTCTTGCGAAGATAACTAAATTTCAATTAATAATAAAAGTAATATTTTCAATAAAACGAGATTTAAAATATTGATGGAAAAATAATAATTTTAAATAATATTTTTAAATTGATAAACTATTAAAGAAAAAAGGTTTTTTTTTTTTTTTTTTTAAGGTTACTATGTATAAATATTTGAAAATTGTTATTATTATTCAAGTAATTTCAATAAAAGGTCATTTTGAAAATTTAATTTTATGATGGGTTGAAAATATATAAAGAATTAAGTTTTAAAACAAAAAAGAAATCGTTGGGGGCAGAAACACAAATAAATGAAATTACAAGGGCTGAAGTATAAAATGGAACAGTTTCTATGCTTGGGAGCGGTGGAAATTCGGGTGGGAGGGTATCGCAGTCGCAACAGGGCTAGGTGCTGACTTTTTGAATCGACTCATAATCGTCGGGGAGAACTCACTGGAAGTGGAATTTAGGTATCGTTTCTAATCTCGATCGTTATCTTCCTGCAATCCTTGCTGATTTCTTGCCAACCCTACTCGATCACGAGACGCTGTTATCAGCGGTCGAATTTCACTGCAGCGTGGCGACTGCATGTCAAACCAATACACATTTAGTGCTCAATTTTAGAACAATTTGTGTTTCGGCCTCATTTGAGCTTAATACTCACATTTTCATGTCGGTTGGCTTGCAAATGTTGCGTTAATTTTCTATTATTCTTCACTATATCCTGCTACAAAGTGGAAACACTAGTTTTCAAGTTTGATATTGAGATGAAACTGACATGAATTCGTTTAGTTTTGGTTAGTCTTGGTGCACTTTGCCTCTATGTTCCTGTCCCTGGTAATAATTGGAAGTTGTTTCGGAATTGTAAAACAACGTCCATAATCTTTGCAGGCTCTTACTCGCGCTTCTTTGGTGTTTTGAGAACGAATGTCTTTTGAGTATTCCTGCAAGTCTTCATTGCATTTGAGATGAACTGACAGATTTCAGCCTGGTGGTAGAAATATAATCGTTTTAGTAGGACCAATATGTCGAATTCAAAGGCTAATGAGGGTGGTGGCAATGCTAAGCGAAGTCTTCCTTCATGGATGAGTGGGAAGGACGGTGGGAGTACTTCTCGAGGCAAGAAACCAAACAGTTCTTGTTCTGGTCAAAATGATGTGATGGCCGAAGCTGAAGAGCCGAGGCAAGAGAAAGTAATTGGTGAAGGCCCAGTGAGCAGTTCATTACACACAGATTTCACCAGACTTCTGGTTGACACATTGTTTCTTTTCACCCCTTCTTTTTCTTTTTCCTATCTACGTGCATTTTCTACATGTGTTTGGTAGTTTACAGCTGCTTTGCGCTAAGCTAAATACCAACTTTTAAATGCAGGAAGGAGTAGTTTTCGTGTTGTCAGGTTTTGTTAATCCCGAGCGCAGCATTCTGCGGTCCCAGGCATTAGAAATGGGAGCTCAATATAAGCCCGATTGGAACTCAGATTGCACTTTGTTGATCTGTGCTTTCCCAAATACCCCAAAATTTCGACAAGTGGAATCAGATTGCGGAACAATAGTATCAAAGGTTTTTTCTTTTTAAAGAAAACTTGGAACATTAACCATGAGTTTTTCAAAGAAAATTGTGCTAGCTTTGATGTTCAAGAATCTGAGAGTGGGCGACTTTCCCCTAAATATAGATGTACTTAGAAATCAACTCTAAAATCTGACCGTACCATTATCTGGCTGTGTCGATGGTACCGGGATTCTAAATTTTTCAATTAGGTTCTGAGTGATCTTATTTGTATTCTTTGTTAGGAGTGGATTTCAGAATGTTATGCACAGAGGAAGCTCGTTGACATTGAAAGCTACCTCCTCCATGCTGGAAAACCCTGGAGAAGAAGCAACGAACCACGTGAAGCCACCCAAGGTGATTTAGAAATACGTATGTTTTCATGGCTTTTAGTTCCATGAAATGTTAATGTTAGTCACAACCACCATAACCATAGCTGGCACAATAGTCAAGTCATTGAACTATTGAACTAAAGTCGCAAACTATGATATTTCTATAATCAAGTCAGGGGAGTTCGATAAAACACCTAAGGTTCTATCGACCAACAATTGAGAAGCTTCCAAAGTCATAGAAGATGGAGCCCCATTAGATTCCATTTTAGAAATTGCCCACTCAATAGCATAAACTGAACAAAGAACTTGGCATTTTATAATAGTTAGACAACATAATTTCCTTGGATTGATCTATCTACTACTGTATGTATATCTACATCTTAATGTATTTGAGAGTCAATTTGAGCATAACTCAATGGATAAAGAAAACATATTATCTTCCTTGAGGTTGAAGGTTCAATTTTCGACAGCTGCATTTTTGTACTAAAAAGGAAAAAATGAATTAGAGATGGAGAGATATTTTTTAATGATGGTGAAAAGAACGAAACAACATATGCCATTGCCTACTTTCTTTTATTGTAGTGTTGCATCATGGGTAGTATTTACATATGCTATGGCTATGTAATTTGGGTTGGAGCATGACTTTGGACACTTGTCTTGTGCCTATCATTTGGTTGTGTTCCCTGCTTTTGCTATGCTTTGATGCCTTTGTTCCTTCATCGTGTACCTGATGCTGAAGAATCATTTCTGAATATCCTGTCATTTGTTTTCATTGGTGGGTGATTGGTTGCAGCTTTTCCAACGCCATCCAAGAAACCTCAGAAACCAGTTGAGAAGAATTCACGTTTAAAATCACATGAGCAGGAGATAGCTCAGGTAAACAGTCTGATTCCTTTGAAATTATACATCATTATATCATCATTGTTCTTCCATCCTGATTTGTATGCTTTATATGGGAAGTAACAAACAAAGCTAGACCCTTTGTAAAATGCAGATTATTGTTCGGCTACATCTTTTCTATTCATATACATGCCAATGCTGATATATAGATATATATACCTTCGATTGTGCCAATGCAGAGTAGAGAGATTATTTCTTCAAGAGAGTGTTTTTCTCCTTCAAAATTGAAGAAGTGGGCCATTGATGATTACCATAAAACACTTTCTTGGCTAGATAGTCAGGAAGAAAAGGTAGAACAAACGAGCTTATCTTTTTTAAGCAATTTATAGTTTTGACTTATTCAAGCACCAAGTGACCCTTGCGAGTTAAATGTCAACCTGGAATCTTCTGCTCAATTGCCTAGTTGATTTTTAGGAATGCGTAGAACTCTTCCTTTTTTGCACACTTAATTTTGAGTAAATGGTGAAACTCTGTTGATTTTATTTTGATTTTAATTCTTCATTTTCAACCTTTTGTAGCCAGATCCAAGTGAGATAAAGAAAATAGCAGCAGAAGGAATTTTGACTTGTTTACAAGATGCCATAGATTCTCTACATCAAAATCAGGTAAAAAGTTTTTCTTCTACTGGCGGTTATGTAGTTCTGATCAATTATTTTCTCCTTTGCAGCACTACGCTACTCAATGCTTCTTATAACGTGTAAAAAATATCAATGAATAGGTTGCAGATTTGTTTTGTTACATTTCGACCTCGTCGAGATTTCCCTCTAGAAAAATGCCTGTCAGATTTTACAAACGGCCCTGATATAGTTGAAGATTCGTATTTACTTGTCAAGTTTTGCCTTGATCAATAACTTCTTAGGGTGTTAATTATTTACAAGTTAATTTCTCCGTTAGTCACAGCTTCAGCTAGTTATGAGTGCAGCATTTAAACATTTTGTTTTCATTTGTCATATTGGAAGGATAGGTTGCTCTTTTCCTAAGTTTATGTTTTTTTCCCGTGAAGCAAACAGAATTTTGTCAGTCGTTCTCTTGTAAGATTATTTGGCTTTTAGCTCAAGCCTCTGATCCCTTATTTCCTAAATGATCTCACTAGTGCGAGAAAACAGATGATATTACGAACCAGTAAGTTATACTACTGTGAATGAGCAGCATTTTAAGCCTTGACATCATATAGCTCATTGCTACTCAGCTTGAAAACCACTGTATTGCATATTTATATTGGCTGGAAATAAGTTCGAGTTCATTTGGTGCTTGAAGGATTTGGTACTTTCATGCTAGGGTCTTTTCAAATGTCTTTCTCGCTTTCTGCCTGCATACTTCATTGTTCGGTTATTTTATTTAATGCAAAATAAAATCGGTATCTTGTAACGGTCCAAGCCCACCGCTAGTAGATATTGTTCGCTTTGAGTTTTTCCTTTCAGGTTTCCCCCTAAGGTTTTTAAAACGCGTTTGCTAAAGAGAGACTTTCACACCCTTGTAAATGATGTTTTGTTCTCCTCCCCAACCGATATAGGATCTCACAATCCACCCCCTCCAGGGTCTAGTGTCCACGCTGGCCACTCATTCCCTTCTCCAATCGATGTGGGACCCTGCAATCCACCCGATGCGGGGTCTCACATATCTGTTCTGAGCCCTGAATTGGCACTTTAACCCATTTAATTCGTCTTGCAGGACATCAATCAGATGACTGAAGAATGGAAATTCGTTCCTCAGGTGGTGGAAGAGCTGGCAAAACTTCGCAGTAAGAAAGAGTCAATATCAAAGGAGGAACTCTGCAGGCATGCTACAGATTCTAAAAGGATTTATGAAGTAGAACTTAATTCTCTACTTGCCAGTTCCCCAGAAAGAAAGAAGAAGCCGCCAAATATCAATAAAGAACTGAAGAATGGTCATAAAGCAAAGGAATACGACAGTGATGACACGATTGAGATGACTGAGGAGGAGATAGACATTGCATTCCAGAAAGTTGCTTGTAAGAAGAAGAGACCTAGTTGAGGTCCTTTGCTCGCTCAACCAGGTTTATAAACGGTAAGACCCGTCTGCTGTATGCATTGCCATGGTCTGCTTATTTTAATCTTAGTGAGAAGTCCATTTTGTTGGTTCTATATTATTGACTGCTTATCATCTCCCTTTTCTTGTCCTAGAAAGAGAG